GAAAGACTGCTGAGAAGATCACTAGGACTCCACTGCCCTCTCTGCAGAGCATTTACCACTGCAGGGTGCGTAGGAAGCCTGCCTCAATCTTCAAAGATCCCACCCACCCCCAGCACAGACTGTTCACTTCTCTGCCCTCTGGCTGGAGGTACAGAAGTGTGAAATGCAGGACCACTAGCCTGAAAAACTTTTTCTTTCCCTCTGCCATCAGACTCGTAAACAGCTGAATAGTTTATTACCAGGAAATATGTGATGTACTGTTTACATTATCAGTTTGCACATGCATAATTGCACAATGACTGTTGACTGCTGCACATGCTGCTCCCATGCAGCATACATTCTCTATTATATTCTTTTATTATATTGCTGCATTTCTTGCTGCTTAAAGTGTCTTAGATTTTGTGTTACTTATTTGTGCTACATGCATAATTGCACAGTGACTCTGCTGCTCCCATGCAGCATACATTGTTATATTCTTATATACACTGCTCAAAAAAATAAAGGGAACACAAAAATAAGACGTTCAGCTATGTTGTGTTCCCTTTATTGTTTGAGCAGTATATTTTTTTATTATATTGCTGCATCTGTTACTGCTTAAAGTGCCTTAGATTTTGTGTTATCTACTTTATATTTCATTTGTATTTTGTGGCATTCATATGGACAGCAAAGTAAGAATTTCATTGTACAGGGAAACACGTTTCCTAACTGTGCATATGATAAAATAAACACTTTGAACTTTGAACCTTTGAGCTGCTGTATGGTAAATTTGACTGTGTGCTTCAGGTCATTGTCGTTGAAAGGTTAACCTTCTTCCTATCTTCAGCTTTCCGGCAGAGGACAGCAGGTTTTCCTTAAGAATTTGACAATATTTTCTCTTCTACCCTGACAAGTGCCCCAGTCCCTGTTGAAGAGAAACACTCTCACAACAGGATGCTACCACCTTCATGCTTTACTGTCGGTATGGTGTTCTTTGCATGGTTCTTGTGTTGTCTTTCTGTCAGATGTACCATTTGATGTTGAGGCCAAAGAGTTCAATTTTGGTCTTATCTGACCATACCACCTTTTCCATTTGGCCTCAGAATCTTCAAGGTGCTCTTTGGTAAAGCTCAAATGAGATCTAATGTGTCCTTTCTTGAGGAGCGGTTATTTTCTTGCAACCCTGCCATTCAAGGCAGACTGTGATATTGTTTCCACATGTACAAAATGACCATTCTTTGCCATGAACTCCTGTAACTCCTTCAAAATTGTCATTGGCCTCTTGGTAGCCTCATTGACCAGTTTGCTCCTCATTCTGCCATCCAGTTTGGAGGGATGGCCCAACCCAAGCAGAGTTGTGGTAGCACCAAACTCTTTCTACTTCTTAATTATAGACTTAACTGTGTTCTTAAGGATAGATCCTCTGAAATCCTTCTCCTGACTTGTACCTTTGCAAAACTTTACCCATGAGAGCGGGATTTCCCTTTTCCAAATCAAGTTATTCCAGCTTTTTATTTTTTTGTTTTTCCACAACTGTTGCTGTTTTTTCTTTCACTTATATGTTGTAAGCTGCACTGAGTAAATTAAACTGCAAAATTTTTAATGCAAAATGTGAATGTTTTGAAAGGGGGTGATTCTCTTTTATACCCACCGTATAGTTCTTATCATATTGGTTTGCCCATTTATGGGCTTAATGCACAAAAATATATATGTGAATAGTCTGAACCTCTGCTGTATGTTGTTTTGGAATGAATAACTAAATGTCATTTTTGACCAATTTTTGACAGCACTAGTAGGCAACATTTTAGAGAAAATCCAGCAGCTAATTTCCCCTGTGGAGGGGATAGTATAGCAGAGCAACACCACATCCTGTCCCATTTTCACTTGATTTATCAGACATTTTGTAAAATCTTAGTTAGAGCATGTTTAATGATAAATACAGACAACTAAATGTGTACTGGCTTGAATTTAACATTTCAGATGGAACTAGACAGCACTCAGTGCAAACCTCCACCAAGGGGTAACTGAGTTTCCTCATAATGCCATAAAAGCAATATTGTCCTACACCTGTGCCCAATTTTGATTGGATGTGAAGACATCTTTTCTTCTTTGCCATAAAAGCAATATCCCCATGATGGTTTGACCTTCATAATGTGATTGCTTGATCATGAAAACTTACTGCTGGCATTTGGAATGGCCCTGATGTCATTTTTAGTTTGAAAGATATTTGAGAAAAACAATAGATATGACAGGCATTCACTTGTTGGTTTAGGGGTAAGACAGGGGCTTCAGTGAGTGGACTGCAGGCAAAGCGGCAAAGATGCCACATTTCTGCATGTCTCTGTTTTGCTTGTTCAGCAGCTGCTCATAAGGTATTGGTTACTGAAGGAGTGCAGCCCTTCTCTCCTCTAAACAGAGGCCGACATACAGAAACATACAGTGGAAAAGCAAAGTACGTTGGTCCGTGTCAACCCATGAGGCTATGCAGGGAGACGCTTAAGGGCAACATGGGGTGTACCGCTTGTTAGGTTCTGGCAGTGGAAATGCAGCTACACTGTGCTCGGCGTCCTTGACAACAGACCACTGTGCTCTGAACAAAATATAGCTGCCTGCCAATAGAGCTAGCTTGGTCAAATAATGAGCATGGACATCTTCAAAAACATTGGAACAAATTTCTAAATCTGCATTACTGGCTCAAAATCTCTGCATTGAGAAAGTAGACCTTTCCTCAGTTCTGGCTGTCACCTCGGTGAGCTCTTTAGGTCCCTTTCTCTGTGTGGAGTACGGCACTCAGTTTCCACAGATAATGAATGAGCAGCTGCCACCAACCCAGGGATTTGTCTCTGTATGTGTTTGGGGTGCTCAGTAGCGCAGCTGTGCACTTTGGCCACAAGGGGGCTCACATACAGTCTTTCCAGCACTCACAACAGGGAATAATTTAAAAAAAAATATTCCTGTATCCAAATTATGATATGGATCGGCACCAAAATTCTATCATTTGTTCTGTGGGCCATACCCTACCTCACGAGAATATTTTATCAGAGTCCGTTCATTACTTTTTGAGTTATGCTCTTAATAAAATAACAAACCAGCAAACACTGGCAAGAACATAACCCCTGCCCTTAGATAAAAATTAAGGGTAGGGTCTGAGGATGAACTAAACATTTTCGCAGGGGTGAGTTGTAGCTTTTTTTTTTTTAAGCCTTGAATTGTTCATGATAGTTTATGAAAAGTGCACCTCCAAAAAAGTGGAGGAAATGTACTAAGACACTAGTAAAGGTCTTGTTGCTGTTTTCTTTAAGGCCTTGTTTGTCTTGTCTTGACAAGCATCTTATGGAATTCAGCCTTTGTACACTCTACCACTGGGAGGAAACAGAAGATTCAGATGTAACAGCACAAAAATACAACAGTATAGAAGGTTCACGGTGAGGGAACACATAGAAAATAGAAAAATCCAATACAAGACCACAGCTCAAAGTGTTTAAATGGTCCCAATCAATGACACTTTGAGAACAAAGAAAGGCAATGTGTTTGTTGGGAGGTGGCTTAATTGAGATGTGTAGACTGTTGAGAGGCTGCATGCTATTTTTTTTTTTTAAGTAAAGAATAAATCCAGTGTGGTCTCTAGTTTAGAAAAAACATTCAAGTCAACAGTATACAGGAATGATATGAGCAGTGTACCTTTATCTTTAGCTCTTGAGCCGAACCTGGAGTGTTCTCCAGAAGACGCAGCATTCCTCCAGCTGCTGCAGCATACATGAGGAAAAACAGGAAAGACATCTGACATGGTTCCATGCCAAAGACAGACCTGCTACATAGTCCCATCTCCTCTTTTAGTTCTGGAAGAAAGGTTATTGAATGATTTATATTTGTATTGATCATATACATATATATGTATATACTGTATGTCTGCAGTCAGTAAATCTGGGGCAACAATATATTGTTTGGTTTAGAATAAAAATTTAGTCAATTTTACATACTGACGATATTTGGTCCCTGCACACAGAAATATCTCATATTGGATGGACTATAAGGAAATTTTGTATGGGCGTGCTCATAGGCTAAATCCTAATTTCTTTGTTGATCACCTGACTTTTTACAATTTTATTGTCATATTTGAGATATATCCAGTATTTTAGTTCATTTGACACTCCTTCAAGGCAGCTTTAAGTACCTTTTACACTCAAGTGTGAAACATTTACCACAATCTCTTTGTAAAAGAGGTCAGCCAAATCTTAATACAGTGATATCAAGAACATATTTATGTCATTCAGTGGAATAAAGTCTGTGGTCCATAACCATCATTGGTGCGCCTGCTTGTTTGCAAGTACGTTTGCTTGTCTGTGTTTCTGTGTGTATGCAGATCTTGTGCAATTGAGCACACCTTCCTTTAGTTTGAGCACACGAGCTAAAGCTTCTTCTCATTCAGTGTGGCTTATACTTCCTGGAGATATAATTATTTCTGATGTTCATTGTAAATAAACATTTATAAATTACACCTAGAATACACTTAGAATTCATTAAAAACACTTTAGAACATGCCCGGAATCATCAAAAATTTCTTCAGTATCATAGCTCTGACCTGCTGTCCAAGTATGTTGCTCAAGGTATGAGTACAGGGTCATACTGTCCAGGTCCACAGCATTGGGAGTCTTTGAAGGGTCCTGGACACATACTGTGGCACATAATCTGTCAAGCTGAGTTCAGAGTACAAGTATCACCACAACACACCACCCACACATGATTTACTACTGTTAACCAAAAGCATCCCACTGATACAGATAACAACAGAAGAATTGTCAGAGGCTGTCAAATATCATCCTACCAGTGCATTTTTCCCCACATTTCTACAGTCCACTGCTACTCTAACCATTTGAAATTTTGTGATTTTTTTTTTTTTGTGGTATGATAAATGTACTTTAGTCCAATCAATCTAAAAGAACATTGTATTCTAAATGTAAAATGCCAATAGCACATCCATTTGGAACTTCTTATTGACTACCACCTAGTTAGGTGTATACTTGGTAGAGAAATCTACTCTACCCTAATCCCCTACCCTGATTACAGAAACCAGGTTTTCCATTTACATGTTGGTTAAGAAATTATCCTACTCGAGAAAGCTGATCGTAACCTGGTTACTTAAGTGCATGTAAACAGTCAGTATTGCTGTGTTAGTTTGTTACCTCACCTTCCACAGGAGCTGAGTGAGGTCCATTAGCACCATTGGGGATAGAACAGGGATACTTGTTCTGTAGGTGCGAACTTTGGCATCTGGCCCGCCCATATGGTGCACCTTCTTGCCAGTGCTAAATTGCGGGTAGGTCTCTAAGCCCAGCTCCTTTATAAGCTCCAAGATGTGTGTTTGGGTGCTGAAAGAGATGAGGCAGTTTTTTAAGCTTTACTGTAGGGTTATTACACTTGCAAGTTAATTATAAATGCATTTATTATGGGTTTTGAGAAGTAGGCTTGAGAATACAGCATTGCTTTAGTGAGTCCTTGAACAACCATAAAAATCTTTGAAAACACTGGTCTAAAACTGAAATGTTGTAGGGTAATTTCTGTGCTGAATTCAAATATGACCTTTAAAAGAACTGATTGACCAAAGTTTTTTTTTTTTTTAAGATATTTTAACATTTATGTTTTATGGTGGCATGCAGAAAACTGACAAGTAAAAGTAAATATCGTTTGACACAAACAGAGAATATAGGCTGATGTGTACAGAGCTTGATGTTAAGCGGAGGTTTGAACATATGAACAATAAGCAGCTTAGTTAAACAATACAGGGGTGAATTTTGTCATCAGATCCACCAAGAGTTTCAGACATTATGAGCTCTATTGTTTTAACGTAAGGTGTTTGTCATGCTACAGAATCACAGATTTTATATTTCCTGTATGTGCAGTCCTCTTTTGCATTTCACTTACTAAATGGTTTTTATTTTCATTAACATAGCAATCGCTATTTACTATGAACAAAATGTTTCTCTTTTTTGTTCTTAAAAACTAGAAAGACTCATGGAATAATCTTACGATAATGCATCTTTAGTCTTAACCGGAGTACTTTCTCAAAATGTTTTGCCTATATTGTCTCAGAATCTGTCTGTTTTATTACTGTAATTTTTGATCAACATTACCTTCCTACCCATTGCCCTCCAAAGTCCCAGCAATCAACACCACCTGCTGCTGGTATATCGGTGGTCACTGTGCGACCTCCCACCCGACCTGCACAGCACAGCAAATATGATTTAGTCAGATCAGTACCTTTTTTTTCAGTATCTGTTTACCTGAATGAATCTAGTAAATATCACACTATTTCAACATACCAGTTGTTTTGAGTCTGTGTCAATTATGAAACGGTTTTACAAACCTTTTCCTTCCAGTACCAGTATTCTCAACTTGGCGTCCTTTTTTCTGAGCAGATGAGCTGCACTCAGTCCAGACAGTCCGGCACCGACAATAATAATGTCCCAGATTTCTGCAGTCATAGTCAAGCTCAGGTGACTACCTTGTGTTGTGCCAAGTTAGCCTTTGCTGCTAACTTGTTGAGTCAAAAACAGAAATCCAACTTGTTTCTTTTTTCTGTATCAGTTAAAGTTGTTTTGCAGAGCCTTGGCTGCTTTCGTAATGGTGTACTTTGGAACTGTGGAGCAACTGAGCTCCTGACCTACTTGGCAGAGAATCAGTTGTGCAAATTCCAGAAGGCAAGGCAGGTTCATACACGAAGGCAGCACAGTGCTTAACAAAATGCACTGATATAAAACATTAAAATAGTAATCCTTATGAGGTGTTTTCAGCCCTGCTGCTGTCAGATGACAGATTTTTTTATTTTATTTATGTTGCCAGTGCATTTAATGTATTCATTGCCATCAGGATAAGAGAATTTAAAGATATGTAAAAAAAAAAAAAAAATGCTTCTGAAAAGAGTCACCACCCCTGCCTTTAACATCATTCTCACCAATTTTGTCACCGTGTAGCAAGGGAACTGCCCAGTGTCTGACTGCAAAGAACCGCAGAAGGTGGTGAAAACCAGCCAGAATATCACTAACTTCCAGTTCCTTGTCATCCCAGGCATACAATACAAGCACAATCCATAATATATGCACTCAAATAACTGTATGAAATCATAGGCCAAACTGTCTTTGTACTTGTACCTTGTAGTCGACTGCGGCCCAATCCATTGTGCACCAGCCCCTTACGAATCCCCCTGCAGGTGGTGGGCCCACGGGAGGACGTCCCCACGTCGCTTGTTCAGGCTAAGCCCAGCCACCAGGTGCTTGCATTCGAGCCCCAACCTCGGGCCTGGCTCCAGGGTGGGGCCCCGGTTGCGCCATACCGGCCGCA